CTCTTTACCGTTTAAGAATCGCCAAACGCCTGTACCTAGCAACAAGGCTCAGGCCTGGCAGCGCGCCATTTGGTTGAAGAAAAGGCTGGAAAGAGACCCGAAGTTGTACCAAGATTATAAGGCCTTTATGGAAGACATTCTCTCCAAAGGATATGCACGCAAAGTGTCCCCTGATCAGAAGAGCCCCGCGAAGGGCACCGCCTGGTACATACCGCACCATGGTGTTTACCACCCTCGCAAGCCAGGAAAGATCCGCGTCGTGTTTGACTGTTCGGCCAAATTTATGGGAAAGTCTCTCAATGACATGCTGTACAAGGGTCCGGACCTAACCAGTTCGCTTGTAGGAGTCCTGTTGAGGTTTCGTGAAGAGAAAGTAGCCGTTATGGCGGATATAGAGTCCATGTTCCACCAAGTGGGAGTTCCCGATCCTGACAGTTCCTTTCTGCGTTTTCTTTGGTGGCAGGATGGCAACATGGCGAGCGAATTACAAGAATATCAGATGGTCGTTCACTTATTTGGAGCCATTTCATCACCGGCTTGCGCAAATCTCGCACTCCGCAAGACAGCAGAAGATAACCGTCACAGTTTCCCTCCTGACGTCATTAACACAGTTAAAAGAAACTTTTATGTTGATGATTGTTTGAAGTCCCTCCCTGGCGAGCACAAAGCCGTTGCGCATGTTGGCAGTTTATGCACTTTACTATCACGTGGTGGTTTCAAGCTAACCAAATGGGTCAGCAATAGCCGTGGTGTTCTGCAAGCCATCCCTGAGAAGGAGCGAGCAAAGGACATCAAGGACATGGACATAAGGAAGGACGCGTTGCCCGTTCAGCGAGCCCTAGGAGTTCAATGGTGTGTAGAATCCGACTCGTTCCGCTTCAAAGTCAACATTAGCTCCCGTCCACCAACGCGTAGGGGTATCTTGTCTCTAGCGAGTGCTATTTTCGATCCTTTGGGATTCCTGGCACCGTTCGTTCTGACCGCGAAGGAAATCCTTCAAGATCTTTGTCGCATTAAGCTAGGATGGGATGACGAGATCCCGACTGAGTACGCTGCACGTTGGGAAAATTGGCTAGCAGATGTTCCAAAGCTCTCGGAGTTTGCTGTGAGTCGCTGTTTAAAGCCAGAGGATTTTGGTCCCGTTAAATCCAGTCAGCTGAATCACTTCTCTGATGCATCAGAAGCTGCTTATGGTTCAGTGACTTACCTTCGACTGGTTAGCCATGAGGACCGAGTTCATTGTTCCTTCCTGTTTGGAAAATCACGCGTTGCTCCTTTGAAAGCTATTTCTATTCCTCGTTTAGAGCTCTCGGCCGCAACCGTTTCTGTGCGACAAGACAAGATGCTCAAGGAAGAGCTGGAGATGCCTCCTAATTGCGAATCCGTGTTTTGGTCAGACAGCATGTCAGTGTTTCGTTATGTGAAGAACGAAAGTACGCGGTTCCACACGTTTGTTGCCAATCGGGTTGCCGTGCTACGAGAGGGCTCAAGTCCAGATCAATGGCGCTATGTGGAAGGTGTAGCGAATCCTGGAGATTGCGCTTCAAGAGCGTTGACTGCCAATGTATTGTTGAGCTGCCAAAGATGGTTACTGGGGCCGGAGTTTCTCTGGAAGTCAGAAGAAGATTGGCCTAGGAACCCCTCATCACTTGGATGTCTTCAAGACGGAGACCCGGAAGTGAAGATGGTTTATAAGGTTTGTCACGCCTCTGTTTCCGAGTCGGAGCATCCTTTGGTTGAGTGCTTTCAACGCGCGTCCTCCTGGCACCGATTGAAGAAGTCAGTTGCATGGTTTTTACGGTACCGTGGAAACTTGCAAAGGCTAAGTAAACGCGGAAAATCGAGAGAGCCGATCCATTCAACTCCCATCCTTTCTTTACCACCAATTACCGTTACGGAGTTGGAGATCGCGGAGCTAGAAATCCTCAGGAACGTCCAGCAGTTTAATTTTCCGGATGAGCTTGAGCTGTTAAGCAAGTCTGAAAACGGTACGCAAGTCAAGAAAAGCAGCAGCCTTCGAAGTCTGGATCCAATCTTAGTGAACGGCGTCTTACGTGTCGGTGGGAGGTTAAGTTTAGCGTCCACTGCATTTGAGGCCAAACATCAGATTATTTTGCCCAAGAAGGATCACGTGACCAACCTTGTAGTAGAATACTACCACCAGATCTCCGGTCACTCTGGAAGAGAGTACGTTATCAGTCTTGCGCGCGAGAAGTTTTGGATCGTAAACGCAAGTTCTGTTGTCAGGAAAGTTCTTTCGAAATGTTTTAGTTGCCGGCGGCGTCAAGGCCCGTTCTGTGAGCAGAAAATGGCTGACCTTCCCGTGGATCGTGTTACCCCAGGTCAGCCACCTTTTACATCTGTCGGCATTGATTGTTTTGGTCCTCTTCAGGTACGCCGTGGGCGAAGTCTTGTGAAAAGATATGGGGTCATTTTCACGTGTCTTTCTATCCGCGCAGTACACATTGAAGTGCCGCACAGTTTGGAAACTGATTCTTTCCTGATGGCGCTCAGAAGGTTTATAGCAAGGAGGGGCCAGGTAAAGGAGATCAGATCCGATAATGGCACCAATTTCACCGGCGGAGAGAGGGAGCTCAGGGAATCCATCAACGCATGGAATCTCAACAAGATTCACGAAGCTCTACTTCAGAAGGGTATCAAGTGGAACTTCAATCCCCCTGGCTCCCATTATGGAGGTGTTTGGGAGCGCTGCATTCGAACAACGCGCAAGGTCCTTCGAGCTTTGCTTCAAACTCAAGCTGTTGACGACGAAGGTTTAGCCACCCTCCTATGCGAAGTGGAAAGCATTATTAATGGTCGTCCAATCACCACAGTTTCAGGTGACCCCAATGATCCGGAGCCCCTTACACCAAACCATTTGCTTCTTTTACGCTCGGAGCCTCAGATGCCCCCTGGGTTATTCCATAAGGAAGACTCCTTCTCTCGACGCAGATGGAGACAAGTGCAATATCTCGCAGATATCTTTTGGAAGAGATGGTCTAAGGAGTACTTGCCTCTGCTCCAAAGTAGGCAGAAATGGACGACGATTCGCAGGAACCTGGCCGTTGGGGATATTGTTCTAGTGAGCGCGGAACATTCCCCTCGCAATTCATGGCCCCTTGGTAGAGTGGTAGAAGTCTTCGCCCACAAGAAAGGTTTGGTGCGCCGTACCAGGGTGAAAGTAAAAGGAGCAGTTTTGGAGAGGCCAATTGACAAACTTTGTTTGCTGATAGAAGCTTGAACTTTCCCTTTGGAGTTATTTTCTGTGCAATTTTCTGAATTCAGGAGAAGAGAACATTAAGAACTCTTAGAAAGACACTTAGATCTTTAATTGTTTAATTTAAGTGCCTCGCGTGTGCTCCTCACTTATGGGGCCGGTATGTAAGATCCAAGTGTAACATTTTTTCTATTTTTCGTTTTTGCGTAATTTGTTTTTCCTTTGCGTACGCAAATTAGTTTATACTTCTTTTCGTCCTTTTGTTTAGTTTTTTTTTGCGTTAATTTAGGTGTTTATTCCTTTTTGTCAGTTTTCGCGCCCTCGTTAGCGTTTCTTTGCTGTTTTATCTTCATTAGCGCCTTTCTAAGTTTCTATAGTTTTATTTTCCGCATGTTCTAGCGTATTTTTCATATATCGTAATTTTGCAGCACAGTTTGGGCAATACATTTTTGGTTCGCGCTTAGCGCAGTTCTGTTTTAGTTTCTTGCTAGTTCCTAGCTTCGCGTTATTCGCAGTCCGCTTCAGCAGTTTTCTCTGGCCGAAACAATGTAAGTGTATTTCACAGTCCTCGTTTTGCAGTTTTGTCATTTCTTTACTCTTATTTACTTTAGTCGCAACTTGTAACTTTTTTACTCTTTTACCGTTTTAGTTTCAATCCACGCCGTTTGTATGTGCACTGAATAAATCTTCATTCTTATTTGGTTCGTGGCGTTGTCTTTAAGGCCAAGAGACTTTACGCCTTTTGCAGTTTCACTTAAGTTTTTGCTTAACAGTCGTCTATGCGACTGCTATGAATTCTTACGCAAGACTGGAGTTTCGGGACTATAGCGCTCGTAGAAAGAGCGAAGCAGGCTGTTTAACTACTGGTGGCTAGGATCGAAAATACTAACTTGCCATTGGCTGCAAAAGGGACCAATAGCGTAGGTGTATCTTTTTGTGGGCACAAATAATTTTATAGAATACTTACAAAGCTACCAAATTCTAATATTTATTTATTACAAATTTTATTTTATCATGTTTATTATAATACAGTATACAGTGTATGTTGTAGGTACACTAGCTGCAATTTAAAACAAAAACAAAGTTCTAATTGTCTCCTTTCATAAGAAGAAAGTGATTTTTGTTTATTCATATTGTGTCTGGTAATATTGTTGATTTCTGAAACTCAGACTTTCTGAAAGAAAATCAGACTTTCTGAAAAAGTCACAATTGGACCTTCCTTCTGCATGAATTTTTTTCTTTACCTTCTCCTTTGAATGAATTTCTTGGCAAAAAGCTGAGTGCACTTTAAGTGCTTTTCAAGTACACTTGAACTCAAGTGTACTTTAACTGCACTTCAGGGTCTAGTGTGAACCTAACCTAATGACTAACAAGACGGAACCAGTGCAAGTCATAATTCTATGAAAATAGTGCATTTTTTTAAATTTTGTGCAAGAGGCATTATGGCTCTTGTTTTGCGCTAGTAAGTTTTGAAAAAGCCACAATTGCAATCCGCTTCACTCTTTTGTAATATCTTATGCCTCCTTCCTTTAAATGTTTTTTTTTTCGGATTGTTTATGTCTCACTTAATTTGGTGGCAGTTTCCATTGTTGGAATTTTGATAAATTCCTTCTCACAGCCCCCGGTGTGGGAGCATACCTACTAAAAGTTCAGTGAAACCTTTTAGTATGGTCACCTTCTGTTACAGACAGTTGTCATATTCTTATCATTTTGACTTAACTGTTTTCAGGAAACTTTCCGGGACTGTCTAACCGTCTTGTTCTTTTCTTTTCTTTTTTTCCAGACAGAGACAACATTAAAAGAGGGGAGATGTTTACTAGATATGGAAGATGTAAAGGTAAATTGACTGATAGTAGTTTTCAAGAAAGCCAATAAGTGAGGCCTTATGCTTTAAAAACCATTTTACCTTCAGATCGGCAAGAATTCCGATGACTTTAAATGCGGCACATTTGTCAACAAAAAATCTTGAGAGCGTCTGCATTTTATTTCTTTGTGCTAGCAGTGTTAGGAGAAAAATACCACGGAGCCCTAGGTTTTACTTGTCGGTAAACACTCTTGAAGGAACTGCTTGAATTCCTCACAAAATAACAAAATAACCGTCCATTCGCGTAGTTGGTGATTAAAAGATTATTTTAACTGTCAAGGATTATTTCATACAAAAATAAAAATGAAAAAAAAAAAAACCTTCTATCGCAGAAGCACTCCATATAGCCTTCATCTAGACGGAGACCATTGTAGACAGTCGAGCCCTCAGTGCGGTCAGTGATGACGTCAACGATTACGAATCACTGACGCCGAACCACTTCCTCATCGGACGGCCATCACCCTACATACAGCCCACCCGGTCAATTTGAAAAGCGCGAAGTTAATAGCCACAAGGAATGGAGAATAGCCCAGGCACTCGCGGACGCAAGGAGAGCCTTCCTTAAACCCGTCAATCCCTTCCTAATGGAATAAAGAACAGCTAAACTTAAAGGAAGATGACTTTATCGGGTCACATGAGTTCTCACATTGGTCCCTTGGTAGAGTTCTGAAGACATTTTCAGGAGATGATGGGAGAGTGCAAATGAAGTGAAAGACACCCAACGAAACTTTGATGCAGCTTATGGCAAAGTTGTGCTTGGTGGAAAAATCTGCTTCATAGAATGGACAATGCCGAACAGTGTTTTACTTTATTGCTTGTAACTTAGCTTGTCGTTCATCTTATGGTGTTTCTGGGAAGGGAGAGAAGATCAAGTGGAGCAGCCGCTGGCTATGTTATTTGTGGTAAATTGTAAAATTTCCGTGATTACCCGCGAGGGTGACTCGGGAACACGAAGTCAGTAAGAATTAAAAAGTTGTTGTTGCGTTACAATAGTCTCGACGACGAATTTGTTAATTGGACTAACCACAGGGGCAGTAATAACTGGCAAAAGTACAAACAATGGACTAGGTCATTTGCCTAGGCACATCCTCTTTAAGAACTTCACATTGTGCCGATTTTCCACTCGAAAAGTGCGAATTTACTCCCTTTATTTGATTTTTGTTTCAGATTGTAGAAAAACAACTTGGTAACCTCGTTATGGATATCGAGAACGAAAATGATCCTGTATTTAGGCTCGAACAAATATTGGAAAAAAAAGTGGAGGTCGTGCTTCTATGCTGTTCCATCGGGGCAATAACTATTTACTTTATCGTGCTACTAGTCCTAAGGTTAGTTGTTGTGTTGCTTTTAAGGAAAAAACAGTGCTTTATCATATCGAAAAACTCGTCCTTAGGTTTATGGAAAACGGTTGACTTGATCTAAAATGTTAATAATTTGTTTCAGAGTGGAAATCACAGAAAAGATTTTTGTGCACGTAAATATGCTACTTTCGCTGGGCATTGCACACCTGGTGTACGTATTGGATTTTACAGTGTTTACCAACAGAGTGGAACATCCAGTAAGTAGTTTATTTATCATCTTGAAACCCATACTAGGCCTTTTTCTATGGTCATTGACAGGTGGGAGGCCAGGGCGAGTAACATTCTCTGAAAACTGCATAATTAATTAGAATACAAAGCCAGAATCCTTTTTTGTCATTCAATATTAAAAAATTCTTACCTTAAAAACGGCTAAAATTCGAAAAACAAACGAACAACAGAAAAAACCATTCTTACATTGATTGATGTTTAGTTCTCTTCATTTGCCTGATCCTCCTTAAATTCAGGATATAAAGGGATTTTTAGCCTTCAAATAGCAGTTGCCGTACCTCTAGTTCTTTTTTTGCTGTTTTTGCTATGTTTTAGTCAGTAGTCTGGCTACTGTTTCGACATCCTCTGCATGCAGCCTGGGCAAAAATAACTGTGTCATCGTTTTAATATTTGATATGTCAGCTGCCTTCGACACAGTCGAAAATCACATATTGTTACAAATTAAGACTCAGTCGCCGTTTTGGAATCAAAGGAAAGGCACTGGCTTGTATGTGGTCCCTGGTCCGGTCGGTTTTACTTTGTGATGTAATTTTCGGGAAGAAAATGAGGTTTCAATACAAACGAAACTTTCTGAGACAGCGTTTATTGATCTGTTTGCCTTCTTAAGCTCGATTCGAGGTTTTCCTGATGACTAGCGAAGGAGGTAAAATCAAGTTAAGGCAAACGTAGGTGAATTTTGTTCTGTTATTTGTGTTTTTTTATGGCCCCTTAAATTGGATATATATTGAATTCAGGCATATGCGATTAAGTGCGTTAAGTTTAAGAAAGCTGTTAATTTTTGGTTACATTATTGCGTACTAGAAATGTTCTTTCCACTTGCAAAAAAAAATGCGGTAGAAAGTTTGAATTTTGAAACCAAAATTGTAGATAATATTCTAAAGCAAATTTTGCATACTAGGTCTTTGATCCAGCCACCGGACGATAGCATAAACCAGCAAAATAATGATTGAAAAGGGAGAGCCTCAGAAAGTATAGTTTTCTTTTCGTTTAGTTATTAGGAAATTAAGATTCAAGAGTTAAAGTGAGGATCTTTCAACTTTGAGTCACATTTTAAATAAAGCACTCTCATGTTTTGGAGTAAATGATCAAAACTGCGTACAGCGTATATTCGATCCGTCCGATTGGTTCCAGTTACTATACACTGTTTTTCCGAGTGATGTCCTCAAAAGTTATGATTTGTCGTATCCTTTTTACGCCGATGACAGCCAGATATACATGCCCTTTCACCGTCACTGGTGAACCTGGGTACTCCAAATCTAAACGAGTATCCTTGACACCAGTAGTTGGATGAGAGCCAATAGGATCAAACTCAATAACGAAAAAACTGAGCTTTTGGTGCCGAACGCCTTTGATTGCCCCCTCAGGCAGCTAAGCTCCGTTTACGCAATCAGTGAATAAATTATAGCCACTAACTCGGCTAGAACCATCGGCTTTTGGTTTGAGATCAATCTACAAGCATGTGAAATTTCTTTGCAAGACTCCTTTCTGCCAATTACGTAACTTGGCCACTATTAGAAGGTTCCAAAAGCACTGTGAAATTCTCTTACACGCCTTTGTTACAGTGTACTTCCGCTATAATCAATCAATCAATCTTTATTGTACTCACTCTTGCTCAAAAATGAATTACAACAATGAAAATATTAAAAGTAACTCCCTTTTATTTGGTCCATCTGGTCTCCTCAGCATCTGTTGCAAAACATGTTTAAAATACTGCAGCCAGTTCCCTCACACGTACCCAAACAAATACGACCACGTTCCCCGCATTTCTTTCTTTTTCAGTAGATATGGAAAACGTCTTCCAAATTTGGTTCACCCTAGCTGGTTACAAAGAATTAGTCGGGGTATTTGAGCCAGTCAAAAACGAGAAATATTTTGGATGAGATGGTAACAAGTAAGGTTTAAATTTCTAAAATTCGGATATGTACACACTTTTTTTATTGTCTTTTAGGTTCTCTGTTCGACTGTTGTGGTAACTCTTCATTTTCTGGAAACAGCTCTGTTTACCTGGATGTTTGTGGAAGGAATAAACCTCTACAACAAGTTGGTCAAGGTTTTTTCGATGCGAAAGCAATACTTAGCTTTCACGGCAATAGGATGGGGTGCGTTACTTTTCTTGATACTTCTATTCCAGTCATTTTGTGGTTGGACCCGGAACTATAAATGCAACAGAAGCGTTCTCTTCGCTAGTGTACGTAGTTTTCTATGACAATAGAAATCTTAAAATCTCCAAATCCAAAAAATCGGAACAGTATTTCCGTGATAAAATCGAAATTTCCTTCAAAGCCCATTCCCCTCGCCCCCCCCCACTGAGTCAATGTCAAGGGTAAAAACGTTTCAAACCGCCTCACGTTTAAATTAAGTAACGGTCTGAAAAGATATTAAAGTGTATAAAACGATGGAAATATAATTTACACGGTCATTGTACAGCTACCTTTGTTAAATCTAAACTTTCAAGTGTTCTCCCTTGATATATACAGTCAAACCTCCACTGATGTCCACCTCTCTACAACGGCAACGGCCACTTAAACGCGTGTCCCCAACCGCCAAAATAACTTCTCGACATCGGCCAGTTTTTTTTTTTTTCAACGACAGATGAAAAAGTCAAGAATGGTCATGAAATTTGATCTGCATGGAACGTTTGAGATCAATCGGGGCAATCGTATTTTCATTTTGTTTCATTTATACTGCTGCAGTAAGCATAAATAGTCTAAGATAATTTGTAGCGAATGATGCGAACTTTGCTCGTTTTGTCACGTCAACATTTTGATTGAAGACATAATTCAAGCTTTTGTGTATATATTAAGTATGATAGGATTACTATGATTACAGAACACAGTAAGCATGAACTTAACACGATAACTGACATGTTGTACTCTCTAAAAAATGTCATATAATCACCCCCACCTTCCCATAACGGCCACCTCTCCACAACGGTCAGTTTCTTCTGTCCCCGGCCAAGGTGGTCGCTTTGGAGAGGTTCGACTGAACCATCAAATTCCTTTAAGACCCATGCAGCACGCAATAACAACTTCAATGGATACCCAAACACCCTAAAACAAGTAAACATGCTAATGAAATGAGATTGATTGTTACTTTCTGGAAAAAATTACGCTGCAAAGGAAAAGTACGTTTTGTTAACAGCTCTTGGCCACCATAAATGGAATGGATATGAAAGGTTTACACCCTGAAAAACCTTCAAGTTTCAATATCATTACCCAGTTAACTCGTTTCTCATTTGTTTGTGTCGATTAATGTTTCATAATTTTCATAACACTCAAACTGTACATTGACTTAGTTTTAAGCACGCGTGATATCATCAGTATTCAGATTGCAAGTCAAATATTCAACGAGCCACTTACTTGCTCCCTTAGGTGGGGAGAGGTAACATATTTCTTCAACGCTACGGATTGCGAAAACCGTAGCACGGAAAGAAGTAGTGTCACACCCAAAAGGACTTGAATATACAACATGCAACAAACACAAACATCCTAACTACTGCAATAGGCCTCACTATTAGGAAGAGATCAAAACGGATAATGGGCCCTCGTTTAATGGATCGAAATTTGCGAACTTTGCTCGGGAACAAGGGTTAAGAAACCGAAAGGTCACCCCTGGGTACGCTGAAGCTAATGGTGACGTGGAGCGTTTCATGCAAACCCTCAAGAAGAGTGAGAGAATTTCTAAACTTGAAGGAAAAGCTATTCGCGAGGGAGTGCAAATAACGGTTGGCAACTATTGAGCCACATCCCACCCAGCGACAAAGGAAAGCCCTGACATCCTCATGTTTGGTAGAGAACTACCGAGGAGGCTACCGGAAAGGATCGTACCTGCAGGAAAAATTCCATACGACCGAATCAGACAAAGACCCAATCAGAGACGTGGCTAAAAAGAAGCAGATGAAAGAGTAGCCGGACAAGAGACGGAACGCCCGGGAAAACCTTATGTTCTGACCCCAGCATTTGACCCCCGACCCTTCTCAGTAATAGGCGTGAAAGGAAGTATGATCACCGTGAAAAGGGGTACGGAGATTAAATCGCGGAATTCATCCCATTGTAAGTTGCTGAAGCACGCGAGGGAGGATGAGTACGTCGCTGTGGATTTGGACCAAGGTCTGGATGCATCCCGCGCGGAAGAAACTGAAAGCAGGGAAGATTTGCGTTTGCAACCCGACAACCTCGGCGTATCCAGTGAAATGACAATTGGTGGTCCACGTAACAAGCCTGATGGTCCACCGACATCCTTAGGAGGGACCGAAACGGCGAGACATCAACAGCAGCCAGGCAATACTGTAGTATGCGGGCCAAGAAGATCAGCACGAACAAGAACGTGTACTTGGAACACTATTTACAGGGAGTTTGAGCCACACTAGACAAAAATGGGGAGATGTATTGTTGGGTCTCAAGGGACTTAATGCAGGATAATTATATGCGAAATGAGCGTTAACACTCTAACAAAAGAGGGACTTGATTTACATATGGGACAGTGGTGAACAGAGTAGTAGGAGGGCTATTAACGGAACTAAAGGCGTATGATGTAACCGTTTATTGAGCCCCATTTGCGACTTTACAAGTATTTTCCCAGGTAGATAATCTATTAAAGCATAAAAACATTGCCCTAAGTTGATCGTTTTTAGTGATTATGTATTACATAAACGCCTTCAACATAAGCGTTAAAGAAAGACTTTAAGCCTTCTTTCCATGCGGTAATAAACAAGGGTCTCGGAAATAGCCTGCGTAGCAAGCGTTTCCGCGCGAGTTCGTCGAGAAACGTTGGGACAAGAGCAAAAAAAAGAGGAAAGACGGGGGAGGGGGAGGGGAAAGACGGAAACGCTTGCCCGCAAACCCCACGATTTTGAAAAACTGCGTTCGCCCACGAACGCAGCTTCTGATTGGTGCGGTACTGGTAGTGTTGATTACTTAGCACTCGAAACATCAATCAAAACAGGTATGCTTTGTTTACGTGCGCCACAGATCTGGTCTTATCTGATCTGTGGTCACAGATTACAATTGCTTTGGACAGATATTTATTTGAATCGTGTTTGTGCGAAGGTTTATGAGATCAGAGTCGTTAAAGTATAATGGGAGATCGAGCAGTGGAGACTAGTGAAGGCCAATTTATTGGGAATGATGGCGTGCGGATCTGACAGGAAAAAATGGACTGTTTGATGGAGATAACATCAGGGCAAACATCAACGTAAATCAGAACATCGGTTCTCGACACTAGCTAAAGCCGCCATGGACAAGCGATTTGTCAGCTTTTTGAAATGAAAAGATTCTTTTCGTTTGTTGGAAATTTAGCAGCATGTATTGTAGAGAACGTTTCGACACGGGCTGAAGAGCAGCCGTTCTGCAAAACTTATAGCCGGCGGAGTGAATGGTTCCGGACAAATCATTTTTGACGGTTCGACAAGGTTTCAGACGTGAGATAAAGCCACACATTAAAAAACAAGAAACTCCGCAGCAATCGCTCAGAGTTTTAACCCTCTGTTATCGTAAACCTTTTCTATCACAGTTTCTGCAATCGCCTGGAACGTGTTCTTTTGGAGAACAAAGTAATTTTACAAATCCGGTAATCCAGGGGTAATCTGTTATCCTTCTATTTTGACGAGCTGTCAATTTACAAATGAATCGAACCGTGAAATATCAAGGGGCGTTTTCCAGAATCGTGGGGTTTGCCGGCAAGCGTTTCCTCTTCTCCCCTCCCCCTCCCCCTTCCCCTTTTTTTTTTTTGCTCCCGCTCTACCTTTCGCGCAATAACTCGATTGGAAACGCTTGCGACACAGGCTACATCGGGAAGGTCTCAAATGCTCTCAAGTTATCTCGTTCTTAAGCAACTCCCCCTGCTAGGACTCTATGGGACTTTTGATATGTTATTAAGGACGGTTTGATGATGACAGTTGGAGTATCCTCTGTTGCAATTAGTTTCAGGTTAACCTACTATTTTCTACAAAATGAATGGAGTATTCATGGGCTGAGATTTTTCTCAGAACATTTTAATCAATTCACAAAAAGTTGTTTTATTATTATTATTATTTTCATTTTGCCTCATTTAAATTATATATATACACACAATTCAGAAAGATGATTCAAGGGAGCCCATGCAAGCCAATAAAACTTAAGAAAAGGACCACCTTTAAAAATATATGACTTACAGTGCGACCATACGAACCGAGGCCACCGAGATAAAATTTTGAGACAAATTTTGAAAGTAGACAATAACAAGTCTAGCTTAAGACAATGAAATTGCTCATAAATGTACTCAGTTCAAAATACGTTGCGAACCATTTTTCTAAAGGATATAAATAAAGATTTAGGAAGTTTATATAAATTAAGCTGAAAAATGTTTAGACATGTTCCGCCCTAACTCTTCGTTGATAGCTCTGTCAAATCATCCAAACTGCGACTCACTCGCTAAGAGCCTTGAAACGAGTGGTCGTCGCCTAATTTAGTTCGGATTGCTCAAAATTTCTTTACCGCTGGCTTTGATTCCCGCCAACCCAGACGTTGTCAAAACATTTTTCAGCTTGATTCATTATATAAAACGTCACGATACTTTATTTACATCCTTTATAAAAATGGTTCGCTGGGTCAGTACAATTATGCGCAATTTGATCGTTTTAGATCTCGACTTGTGATTAGCTTATTTCAAAATTTATCTCAAAATTTTGTCTCAAAATTTTGTCTGGGTGGCCTCGGTTCGTGTGGTCCCACTGTAATTATGAAATAAAATAGTGGCAAGTGAAAATAGAAAGCAACATATTCGAAAAAAAAAAGAAAAAAACGAACAAACAAACTTGATTCCGTGCCCTTGAGCGGGACATGAACTCACGTCTCTCTCTGCTCAGCTAGCTAGTCAGGTATGCTTACTACTAAACACGCTGGTTACGCCACAGCGTAAAACCTACCAGTGACTACAGTCAAATGATACTAAGACTAGCGTGATAAAATTAATTTTGATTACATTTATTCAAGGAATTCCAGCGGTCATTGTAGGCATTACAGCTGCCATAAAGCCCTCTACGTATGACATGGAATCACCATTGAAGGAAGTCATATGTGAACCGTTTAACTTTACTGGGCGTCCTGAGAGAGAAAGGTAATCAGCCACGTTATATCTTTTCTTCAATTTTTCTCTGATAACCTCTCTCTCTCTCTATCGTTGTATAATTGTATATTTTATCGTAGATGTTGGCTCAATGGAAGTACGTGGATCTACAAAGGGCCAGTCTTGTTTTTTCTGTTGGTAAGAATTGTAAATAACGTCATTTCTACTATAAATAAAGACTATAAACATTTACTCGTTTAAAATACAATACTGCATTTTATCATTAAATAAGTCGAACCCGCTTTACGGACACCCGACTGATACGGGCAGTTTTCCTTATCCCTGAAGAAAGCCCTCACAATTTCTCTAAATTGAAACAGCTTAATTAGGCATTTCGGAGTCGCGTAGGCAACTGGGGCGAGTTTCAAATTTCAACTAATCGATAAACTTACACCATCATATAAAAGGTCATGTTGAGATTGGTCATTTGACCAAGTTTGTGCTCTAAAGTTGAACAGGGATCAAGTTATGACTCCTGAAACATGGTTAAAGATCCATACAAACGTCTATAATTTTGTGACAGCGTCCCCAAAGCCATATAAACTCTTTTTCTTTTATTTAAACTATAAAATTCGTCATGCATCTACTACTTGAAAGGAACTAATTCGAAAATCACTGTGTTTGCCCATTTTTAGGAATATCACAGAAATCGTAAAAAAAATTAAGAGTTTATATGGTTTTGGGGGACGATGTCACAAAATTACAGAGGTTTGTAAGGCTCTTTAACCATGTTTCAAGAGTCATAACTTGATCCCTGTTCAACCTTAGAGCACCAAACTGGTCAAATGACCAACCTCAACATGACCTTTCATATGATGGTGTCAGTTCATCGATTTGTTTAAATTTGAAACTCGCTCAATTTCCCTACGCAACTCCGAAATGGCCAATAGGGACACTTGTTTCTTGCCCAATCAACGAATTCCAAGGAAAGTCAACCTCGCTAATGCAATAAGTGTGTGCTGTAATTAAACTTTTCTTTTGGAAGGTAAAAAATACCCTTTGGTGACAGCTTGCTGATGTTCCAACGCTAAAGTACACCGTATAGAATCGATTTTAGACGTCAATTTCAGACTAATTTGCTACTAAACGAGTTATGCAGAGAACGATGATAAGACTTTCCTTTACAAATAGGCAAGCTTTCCAATTTACGAAAAATAGGACAACTGATCTGCACCAATCAAATGCCAGAAAATAAAACAGGTAATTCAAACTAGCCAATCAGCACAAAGTCCCTGTGACAACGCGCCAAAAAAAGTCTCGTTAGCTGATGGCGGTTCGTCGGCGAACGCTCTTTGCTTCTTGTAGCTGTGAACGTCGTTTTGTTTTGATGCGGTTTTGTTTTGGCTTCTTGTCTGGGCCATTTAAAAAGGAAAATTTATGATCAAACTGATGAAAGTTTGTAATGGAAACATTCAACGATTCTTGAAAATGTACTGAAGCACTGAAACTTTGGACAACAATAAAAAACACTGATATAGTTGCGTTTAGATGTTAGCATTACAAAACAAGCGGACAAAGTCTGCGGAATTCGTTTGAGGTAATGAATGAAATGTTTATTTTCAATAGTTTTGGTGTTTTTGTTTCAACTACAAATGGACAGGTTCGAATGTACAGTATTTCGTGTCTGTGACAAGCTAAAAAATCTGGATTAACTAACTAGCTATATAATTGATAAAAAAGAAGACTACATGCTTGTCCCATTTGAAAATAATTGAATTCAAAAAATTTCTCTGACAGCCAAATTGGACGAGGCCGTAGGCCGAGTCCTTTTTTGGCTGTCCTCGGAATTTTTTTCATCCAGTTATTTCCAAATTGGATAGCACGTACTCCTACTACATATACAAATGACATTAATAGGGACAGCCCGTTGAAACGAACACTTTCAGTGGCCCCTTCCTATTAACCGGGTTAGACTATTTTTTTTCGTAAAAATGTTCTTTTCTCTCTAACAGGTAAACATGGGGATGTTTCTCATACTTTTGCGAGTTATTTTTGGAAAGCTGTCCAATAAATACAACAAAGAGCACGTTAAGTTTGCAAGGTGCTAATCTCTGTTTATTATCTTATCAGTCTTTTTGAGGACTGTGAATGAGATTCCGCTTTTGCTAATCATCGTAGTAAGGTTGTGGGAAAAAAGAGTGTGCCTGGGAAAGTTGACAACAACTACAACAACCACAACAACAATAAAAAATGGCAACATGCAAAACTAGTTGATGAAATTGTTCCTTGTATCTTTTTATCTGGCACTTGAAAAAGCAGCAACCGTACACCCAAGTCTACACCCACAGAGTAATTTCGTTTCAACTGATTACAATACACTACACACTACAGTATAACAGCTTACAGCCTTATATTATAGTTACATGTATAATAATAAAATGCGAGCAAACATCATTAATTGAAACAAAGGGATCCTCAAGCGAATATACTGCTTGAGAATTTTGTCAAAGATGAAATCACATAAAGATTCACCTTTTAAAGAGATGATTTAAAATTCCGTTACCCTGTTTATAAGGCAAGAGAGCTATTTTCTGGACCCTGATTTATATCATTTCGCATACAAACTTAATGCAAAAAAAAATGTTGGTATCACTCAATCGCCAACTTTGGCTTACCGAAAAAGGGACCCTACTCAAGAAGCTAAATTATGAAATTGTCTAATATATAGATTTAGCCAGGGCTAAAAGCGAAGCTCTCGTTTAGAAATTCATAATTTAAACCAAACAATAAACTTGCAATGCACAGATCAGGGCACATTCATTTGACTTTTGAGGCAAAGGCTAAGTGATTTTAGAGAAAAATAATTTGACAGTCCAAGAGTGAAACAAATTTTACCTCGAGTTATTAAATAGTCTTATTTTTACACCCAAGATAGCAATCATGTTCGATCACAGTACATTAGGCCTGGAAAACAAATAGAACTATTCATGTATTGTATTTGCATTAGCTGTTGCATCATAATGTGGCATTCACCAGTCTCTCCAACATTGCTCCGTTAGAGAGACTATGGATAATTGGACAACCCCGAAATATAATTTTAAGAAACACACGCGCCACGATAGTCCTTGGTGGCAGCCAATTTACACGTTGCATTCCTCTGTCTAAAAGAGAGGCCAAAATAAAAAATCAGGCCGGATTTTTTGTGTTCGACAAGTTTAGTTTACTAGTAAATCTTGGCGACGAATCTGGTGGCGTGTAAACCAGCCTTATAAACATACTTTTTCTCATCACGTCTCAGGTAAACAGTACTCTGAGGCCCTTTTTTATCATACAGACCTCGGACAGAATTTTTTCTTTTTTGCCCTATTCAAACCTATAATTCGGCAGTTTTGTCACAATTTTGCAAGAGAATTTGCACTCATTCAATATCCACGACGATCAAAGCACGCGCTTCCTTTGCACAACAAATTATAGCATTGAATTATAAAACGTTGTCATGAAGAGAATTCTCAGATAATGCCGGGACTTTTTAGTTAGAAAAATCTGGTCCTATGTGATATGCAGGGTAATAATTACGGGCTTTAAATGAAAACGATAAAAAAAATTCCCCAAATCACTTTTCGGCCAGCCGGACGGGTTCTCACTTTTGACAGGCACCAAATTTGCAGTGCGACTAATACAGTTACCATTTACGCTTCAACGTGATAGAGAAATTGTTATGTTTAGGTTTTATTTCCCTTTATTTAGTAAACTGTGTATGGTTTTGTTATTTGTAATCTTTAAAAGCGAGTGATATTTACGGGCGGCGTTTTGAGTATTCCTGCATGCGATGTTTATGTTCGACTGGAAACAACCGGTGCAGCGATAAAAATTGCGAGAGAGACTACTAACAATCAATAAAATAAACATAATTCGGTGAAACATGTACAGAGACAATAATTTTCATTCACGAAGAGAAGTATTGAGAGTAAAGTGTCTCTGAAAATCATGAGTCAGGTACGCATAAACTTATTTATTTTTTAAGCCGGCTCCCGGTGTTTGCTCTTTTTCAAGATAAACTCGAGGCAAGAAAATCCCTCAGAGCTTTCTGTTTACAACCAAAATCATAAGTAAATAATCTTCGGAACCTTTTCTTTGAATTTGCGGTGAAAAAATGTATAAAGGCTTTTTAAACCTGATACTATTGTAGGTTAGATCATTGCTCGTGTATAAACTTAAGCCGCATAAACCATACGCTCGACTTCAAGAAACCGAAAAAAAAAAAACACATCAAAGACAATAATTGCTCAGGCTTACCAGTCGAGATGCTGCTTCTGAAGGTCATCAAGTGTTCCAGAATCGCTTGAGACTTTTCAACCCTCTTACGCCTCAAGCAAGGGCAAGTGAGTAAGCTCATTTTTGAAAACGATGCCATCCGAAATCGGATTTCCAATGACTTTGACAAGCGGTGCATTTGTGAACAAAAAGCGCAATAAACAAACCAGCCATGAATTACAGAACAATCTAGATAGCAGCTGTATTTCATTTTGTACACCAAGTAGAAAAAGACAGTTTAAAACATCACAAGATGAGACAAAACTCCCGGACAAAACTCTGTCAGCTCCAGCTATCAGTAAGCAAGTTTCCAGACGCTGCATAAATTTTCCGCGTGAACTCACCTGTCAAATTTTGACCAATCAGAACATAAGAAGTGGACGTAGAGCGTGATCAACGCGTGACAGTGAGAAAAGTCAAAAGCGATTGCCTTCCTTGCATGTAATGTAAAAGCCTGTTGAATTTTCGCGTCCGAAGTCAGTTCGAAATCAACATTTTAAAAGTGCTGCTCATGAACACAACTTATTTCATATGCATTTTAAAAAAATTGAACTTGAGCCTGCGATCACTTGAAAAGTATCAACTTGTCAGCGGATACCTTCAAAAAAACACTCAAAGTCAGTGGATCGATACCTGAGCCCGCGATACGGTCAGGCGATACTGGTCAGCAGAAACACTATTTTGACAGCTGTCAATTAATCAAAACATGGATGTACAATATCAGGCTGCAGGCTCCCAAACTAGCTAGAAAGTGTGAGATTAACCATTGGTATGCCTGTGGTGCGGACGGACAAAAAGTCGGGTGGTCAGTGTACGGTCACGTGATTGCCGAATTCTCTAAGATGGATAGATTTTCTAAGCTATGGGGCTTCGAATTGAGCCCGTGATCAAATAAAATATCAGCGCAAAACTTTAAACACTACGTGACCTTAATGGATAGAAAAATGAGCCCGCGATACACTCAGGTGATGATGGTCAGCGTATAATCTAGTTTGACAGCTGTCAATTAAACCTCATTATAATGGCGAATATTCGAATTAACAGACCACGAGTGTGAGTAAGACATATCCGTCCGGCATGTAGTGGAAAATGCCAGATCGTGTACCTGGGCGAACCTGAGCCCACGTCATTAGTTTTCTGATAGTGGTCTGCACATGTCCCATTTTGAAAGCTGTAAATTGACCTTAATTTGGCTTGGCAATATAACTTTAAACAACTGTCAGCCAACTGACAGCCTTGCCCGGCGTAGTTTCGTTTTTATGTTGAATTGGTAAGTGTGACATATTATATCAGCTTACATGTAGGGGCAAAACGACTGGCCTTTCATCAGAGCCCGCGAAATGGTCATGTGATAATTGTCAGCGGATGTCTCATTTTGACAGCTGTCAATCTAATCGTCCTCATATGGATGGCTTACATAACTAAGAGGCTAGTCAAGTTGTGCAAGATCTATTGTGACATTTGACATCGGCTTACATGAAATGTGTGTACGGGTGGGCGTACGCTACGTCATAACCAAATTTTCTCGGATGGATAGTTTACCAAATTTTCTTACCCATGGTGCTCCGCTGCGCGCGCGCTTCGCGGGCGCGAGAGCTCCGCTATTACTCTTGTTTAAGTCTCAAAAGCGTGAAAACCATATCCTTTTAAGCTGCACAAACCCGTTTAGGGCAAAGAAGGAAGTACTCTAAATCATAAACTGAATACCATTCAGGTCTTCTTTTACCTTTTCAAAGGAAAGGGTTACGAAGCATGTTGGCCTTACTTCCACTGTTGGGTGTCACGTATATTTTGGGATATTTCCTTCAATTCCACATCGCCGTTCAGTACCTGTTTGTTTTGCTGAATTCCACGCAGGTTTGTTGTTTACACAAGAATAGATATTAATTAACCCGAAATGTCAGAAATTTGTAGCCAATAATCTAGCCATCTCGCCATCTTGGTATTACTTTCTATGTTAAAACAAAAAAAAAAGGTCATTCAGCCTTTCCGAAAATGTGAGGTGCGATGGAAATTAATTTTTACTTTAATTTAGTCAAGAGCTGCTGTTACAGGAGACAACTCGAACTACAATCGGCGACAAAATTAGTTGAGAAATTTTGCCCTTAAGTGTCTTTCTGACGTTTTGCCGTCTTCAAAAGGGTATAATGAAGCTTTCCCTCCCCATACCCCCATGCAATGTTGTGCCGCTATTTGCGCTATCTCTTGGAGAAAACAAACACCACAGCTTTGACAGGAGGAGAGGGTATAAAGATGGGGGGAGGAATTTTTTTCGTCCAAAGTTACCTCATTTGAGGACATCATATCAGCAATTTTGTCGCTGATACACACAAAGACATCAACAGGTTTTTCCGCCTGTAGGTAAAACAATTTCAGCAACGGGCACCTACAACTAATGGTAATTAGTTATGGATTATCAAAGCAAACGTCTCTTTCGATTTACAAACATGCTTCTGATGAGTAACGAACTTATAATCGGATTAGAATCTTTTGTGGCCTTAATATTAATCTTAACCGTTTTTACGATCTTTCTTACTTACTATCCAATTACAGGTCCGCTTTTTTAAATGTTTCCATGTCGACGTACTACTCAGATCTTAATGGTAACCGGAATTTGATCAACGGATTCCGCATGCTTTTGTCAATTGAAGTCAAGGAAAATGCCCACATATGATTTTTTTTTTCTGTTCACAGGGAGTCACTTTTACCATTTTTCACTACGTTTTTGACGATCAGGTATTTGGTTATAAAGCTCAGGGTAGCTTGTGCTACAGTTAATGATCATTGCTGAAAGAAAAAAGTAAAATTGCCTGAATCAGAGGACGCCTGCACTAATATATAGATTTTGCAAGAGCTAAAAGCGAAGTCTCCGTTTATATACTTATAACAAAAGAAATTTAATTTTGATCCACTAAAAAGAAATCTTGAAATCCCTTCTTAATAACCTTATGAACCCTCCATTTACCCTTTGAGGGAGGGCCTGAGTGAAAAAGAAAAAAATATCCCGCAAACACACCTGCAATGAAAAAACTCTCCCATCAAGCTAATGAATTAATGTACCTCGAAGCAATACTTTCCTCGTACAATTGAGATGACAACTTGCTGCCATTAAAGAATGTTTTTAAACGTATACAACACAGTTTTTGAAAAAGGTTCAACATGCGTTTTGTATATAAACGACGGTGTTGGATGAAGTCAGTGGAGCCCTGGGAGTTAAACATGTTCGATCCGCAATTGACCATTTCCAAACAGATGGAAATAGGTGATTCTTTTCTATTATTCTCGTTTTCCTTCTCTAACTGTGTCTGTCGCTGTGACTTCAGATTACTGAAGGACTGAAGAAGCTCTGCCGAAAGAACACTGTCCCACAAAAGCGAAGGAAAAATCCAAAGACTCCAAGGAAACTAATAAAAAGAAAAGTAAAGGTAATTACAATATTTACATCAGAGCTGCAGTTCAAATTCTTCAACCGACATGTTTTTTTGTTCACGATCGAGCATTGTCAGCATTCCACAGACAAGTACTATACATGGGATGAATGTTCATAAGAAAGACCTATCTATTCTCCAGACCTGAACGACGATCAGGTCCGTATAACACCCTAGGGGTAAAGGGCACTTCAAAGAAGTCTAATCGTCTAAGCCGTGGGTTACGAAAATGAGTGGACGATCAGATATGGGTTACCGTTGTTTCAGGTTTTCAGTTCTAGTCTTCAATATGCCAATATTTTCTGTTAAACAATGAGATTGTCGAATGAAAAATTACTTTGAAGTGATTTGTAAACAGGGGCTAAATTTTGTTTAAGTACTCCGCCCAAGTGATTTTTCTGATCCCTACTATCTATCTGTAAATTGAATAGGTATCGTCAGCTTTCAATGTAAATAACTTTCATATTGTCTTATCAAAATTTTATCAGCTTTCTCTATTTATTTCATTTTATTTATATATTTGTAACAATATGAGTATGAAAAGGGTTACAAATCTCTGTGAGCTTCATCTTTAGTTTGAAAACAATCTTTCTTAGCCCAGTCTTAAGGTGTTTTCATGCATTTTGATTTAATCTTTCCCCATTTTGTTTTTTATTAACACTCAGATAGCGGATATCCAACTATAGTAAAGGTGGTAAAGATGAATGGAGCCAATCAGACAACTAAAGGGACGAACGAGTGATTAGAAACCGCTGTTTAAAGATTATCATTTACATTATTAGCTTGTGTAAAAGCGCTGACATTAACTATTTGTACGTAATATAACAAAGCCGGCAACTGCGAATGAAGAGGTACGTAATTGTCGAAGTGTTTGACATTACTTGTAAGCACGCGTTTTTTTAAAAGGGGAATAACATCATCATCATTATAAAAGACCATGATATTAAGCTACCGCTCTTCTTGTCATGGTAAAGAACGACAAAGAACAAGAAGGCCTGTGTTAATTCATATAAAACACTTTGTGGGGAGGTTGGTTTATTTAAGTAATCTTTGGCGAATTTATAATTAGAAAGGATGGTAAAACATTATGCTTTTGTCAGATGATTTTTCTAGATGATTGTATTCAGTAATGCCAAGTTACAGGAAGATGCATGAGGAATTATTAATACCAAACACTCCACTTATTATATTGTTGTCGCAGCTTACTGTTGCAGTTTAAGGCCTCGGTCTAATGTAGGGCTTTCCATGAGACCTGAACTAAACTCTTCATTTGAGTCGACCTAAATTAAGCTGACTCAGAACAAAAAGCAATCTTAATAAATTTTCTCTTTCACAAACGTAACTCACAAAGTTTGGTTCGTCTCATGAAATGGTCGACCACGTTAGTCCTAGGCCTAAGAAAGAAAGATTAACAGAATCGTAGTTGCTGAATAAAAAAGCCGCACATATAAAACGATGCACGCAGAATTGTACGGCCATTTACGAGCTTCTGAATAAAGGCACAAAACGAATAATGAATACGATTTTTTTTAATACCACTTTATTGATAGGTTTAGTCCCAGGGCCCGTTTTAAAAGGAAATGCTCAAGCTTTTACCGTCTATTGTCACCTTTTTGTGCGATCCAATGGCCCAACCCTGTGGTGCATGATCCTCTTTGATGTGAAGTAAATGAAATAATTCATTTTTGAACTGCGGTTGTAGATGAAAGTGAAGAATGATCATCGCAGTAAATTTTCCAATTTAAGCAATTGGAAAGAAGAAGCCTGAAAAAAAAATCAGGGCTTCAACGGGATTCGAACCTCGCTCCCAATGTGTGGCTTCATAGCTCAGTTGGTAGAGCAACGCACCGGTAAAACGCGGAGGTCACGGGTTCGAATCCCGTTGAAGCCCTGATTTTTTCAGGCTTCTACTTTCCAACTGCTTAAATTGGAAAATTTATTGCGATGATCATTCTTCACTTTCATGATCCTCTTTGGCGGGAATTCTTATGGCCAACCAAAGTACTTTGGGTGGAAATCTCATTTTCCACGAGAATGTGACATGAAATCATTGCCTAACGCACTTGGCGATAGAATTCGCGTAAATACTGTCTTGAAGTATTTAAAGCTATGCAAAGACGAAAAAACTAGGAATAACTGTTCCATTGCCAAATATATTCAGGGTTGTAGTTACTTACCTAAAGCATAGAGAACCAGTTGAGATGTTTCTCACGGATTTGGAAGCATTTGGGCTTTGGGTGTGGCTGAACTATATGTACCCATGACTTAAAACAAAGATTATTGTTATTCATCGTAGTGAATAACATGTTTATAAGTAGTGTTGTTTATTTTTTCTAAGTTAGATCGCGAAGTTTCGACCGCTTAATGTTTGAAGTCTTCATCGCCAATGCTTACATTCAATGAATTTGACAGATCATTTCACTTTTTTCTCTGGTACTACCAGGTGTTTGTCTACTGGTTTAAATTAATCTTTCTTGAAAGATAAAGACTGAGCAATGTTTGACCATGACATGTATAGCATAAGATCATCAGACAAGCAGTTCCTCAAAATTGTTTGCCCAAAATGTCACGAGGTTAACTCTTTAGTGGTGTGCTCATTATGGATATTTTTTGTTTTACCTAACCATTTTTTTTTCTTGATTCAGGGTATGGGTTTGGCCAAATAGTTTTATTTCTTCTTTATTTCGTTTATGGAGGGTTGGTTTTGGGTAGTTAAACCTTGTTCCACCTTTCATAATTGGATATTTTTATGTAAAATGAATCTGCAAATAAATAAATAAATACATTTTTTAAATGTACAAAGTACTCAAAAGTACTTTGTTAACAGAGCTTATAAAATGACACTGAGGGAGAAAGCTTCTTGGGAACATGATATTAGGCCAGATTTGGCTGGATCCATAGGTGTTCGTTCCAACAATTAATAGACCGGAAATTACAGTGAAACCTGTATCAAGCGGAAACCCTCTATTAAGCGGACAGTAGCCGAAGTCCCAAGATCTATTTCCCTTATTTGCTTTAAATGAAACCTTTATTAAGCGGACACCTCTATTAAGAGGACGCGGACACCTAAAAAGTACCTGAAATGGTCATTTCTATTGTTACCAACCTGTATTAAACGGACAACACCACCCAACATGCCAGACGCCGGAAATGCGAAAATTGCCTCGAATTGCCACCCCCCAATTTTTCTATTTAAACATTAAAAAACGTGACGAACATATTTGATTAGTTTCACAGTACAGTATTGTTTTCTATTTCGTTTTGTTAGTATAGAGCTTGTTTCACTCATCTTATTTCTTCAAATTTGAGTTGCAATTTATGTTTATGGTATTGTGATCAACTGGTCCACTTTGATAAAGAAATTAATGCAAACGTATATCGTCAAAATCTCTGGTAGTTAGCCTGTTCCTAGCTCCGAGGTAGTGGTGAAAAGTCGTTCAGTAAAAAGAAATGCGAAAAACGCGCGGGGGCTGGGGAAACATTTTTCTCGCTGCCACCGCCCCCTTTCCCAAGTCACGCGAGTCTTATTTTCGCTTTGCTCGTTTTAATACGTCCGCATTATACTATCTGAGAGCCTGGCACAGGCTATCTGGGAGTATTCTTAACCTTTCCACTGTTCATTTAAATGGCATTTGACACCTCATATGACGTTATCTATCGAAACCTGTATTGGGCGGACACCCTATATTAAGCCGGACACTACAGAATTCCCCGAGGGTGTCCGCTTAATACAGGTTTCACCGTATCTAGTTGGGCTAGGTATTGCTTGATTGATGTTCATCAAGTCTGATTAGAAAAAAATCAACTATGGCTTGCTTTGTTACTCTTTTGAACATGCCTGGTACAAAATTAGTTTCCGTAATTCATTAAAATGATAAAGACAATCTCTCTGTTATTATTCATGTGTATGAATATAGTGCGCCTGGAGTAAATTGCCCGTTGCAAAGAATTATTCAGATGGCTTTCTTCTCGTCTTTAAAAAATGCCAATGATATTTTGCTCAGGAAATAAAATATCACTGATTATTATGTGGCAAAGCCAGTCTTACGCAAATCCGTGCGCTCTGATTGGTTCTTTCTTGGTCAGCCATAGACGATTTTGTCAACCAACGTACAGGAAAGCGCAAACACAAAAAAGAAGACGGTTACGGATATGAACACTCTTCTCCGTTACATGGAAGCTAATGGTATGAAAAACGAGCTTGAACACCTTTTTTCCAATTTTTTTTTTTAGCGCACGCAGGAAAAACGGAGAAGGCTGCGAGCCAGCAACAGTTTCCAGTCTTCAACCCAGTATACAGCGATACTTAACATACTCAAGGACAATGAGTTCGAAAAATCCAGAAAAGTCCGTGCAGCGAAGCCAAATTCCCTTGTTCACGAGCACGGCAAAGGAAGCCTGGCAAACCGCAAGCTGCTCAAGCCGGCATCGACAAAGAGGATGCCCTTTTTGAAGCAGGAGAATTCGGCGACCTCAATCCAGTTGCGCTTCAAAGAACTATGTGATGGTTTTTATCCCTTAACACTTCGTTTTCCGAGCAAGAGAATATCAGTCAAGCGATCCGTTACTGTCTTCCATCGCTCCAGTTTTTACAGGTGCAAACGTAGGATCCACGAGCTGGTGCACCTTCCAAATATTTCGTGGTAATGAGAAAATTGTCCAGTTATCGATAGCGATGAGGAGATTTACTTTGATGCTATATTTTTGTCAACTTCGCCCAGTTTTGAATTAATTTTCACAGCTTCAAACTTAGACTTTCACTTGACACTGTCTTGGCCAATATTTTGTAATCAAGAAAGTATTGTTTGATCGACAAAAAACCCTTTCTCGAGTTTGACAATCAACAACTGCTTTTTTCAGGTACCGGTACAAAGCGTTTTTGAAGTTTTGTTTAAGCTAATTTAAGACGATAGTTTGGTTTTTCGATTTCGTGGTAGCTTGCTTTTGTCTGATAAGTTGCTCGCGTCATCAAAAATACGTCACAGCGGAAGCCCTTTAAGTGCAAGCTACTTCAGACACCGAATGCCATATAATAAACAACTTACTAACCGTGCTTGCTCGAGCCGTACTGGGGAATATTTGCCCTCGGTCGTGGCAGTACGGACCTCGCTGCGCTTGGTCCGCACTGCCCCGACCTGGGGTCAATATTCCCGAGTACGGCCTTCGCGCTCGGTTAGTAAGCGGTTAATAGTTTACGAAGCACAATTTATAACATCGGCCTCTTGTGACACTAATGATTAACAATGCCAGGCTGTCATTTTTAAAGCAGGTGTAGGCTTGTAGCATGCTGGATGTTCACCAAAGCCATTGTAATTTGCAATGACGTTGTATTTTGGGTAAATCTGCTTATTTTAAAATTTCCAAATTAATTGAACTAGTCAGTAAACAAACCTTAAAACTGACACATTTTTCGTTGCATTTCAGTTTACATCTTTTGAGGGAAATATTATTAATTTGTTTACGCTTAAAAAATACTAACTAAAGATTAAACGATTACTTTTATTTTCCACAGAAAATACCTATTTTAAATGAATGGCAAAAAAACTGGTGTATGGGTGTTGTACCTCAGATCTGAGGTATGGATGTTATACTTCACCTCTGATGTATGGATGTTATACCTCAGATCCGAGTTATGAATGTTTTATCTCAATGACGTATAGCAACTATTTATAAACTACGGTTCTGAAGTGTCGGTGTTATACTTTAAAAGTGAATCTGTGGTGAACTTGTAATTGGAGACGGGCTCGATGAAATCAAAACTAAGGCAGCGGAAAGTAGATTCTTAAGTTGAGATGTTTAAGTCATGCAGTTTATTCTTTGGGTTTACAATGCATTTTATTCCTTAAATTGTTTTAATACTGAGTTTTAGAGTGTGTTCTAGTGAAATTACAATACGTACTCATGGTGGTTTGTTTGAACAAATTATTTCTATGTTATTGTTGAGAATCATAGCTCATTTGCTGATTATCTAGGATCTGATATCTGGCCTTAAGCTCATCAATGTCTCCTTTCTTAATTCTTCTGCTGTTTGTAAATGGCACACCAATCATTACGGTTTGGGTCTTATCTATTTTCTCTGTCCATGGAATTCTATTAGAACCGCTTCCGACATGGGAGTTGCACCATGTTAGAATAATATGCGTTTGTTAGACCATAATGGGGAGACGCCCCCGCTTTCAATAGACAAATCAAATTGCAGCCTTTTAACTTATCAATACGCAGGTAAATTTAGCGACACTCTACTTGAGTAATGTTTTCCTCTTTTACGATTATAAACTGTTGATATTCCTTTCATTTGGAAAGGCCTATTACGAAGGCAAGTAGACGCTTAAACTCTGTCGGCTTCAGTTGCTCAAAGTATTTGCATAACTACGTTGTATATCTCACCAACCTTTGTTATTTTGCCTGTTTTTGTTTGAAAATTTTCAAACAAACACGATTTAAAAAGGGAAATGTATTATTTAGCCGTCTTGTGATAAAATACTCCGGAGACTGTTTTGAAGCTGTTCAAAACACTCACAGCACGCGCTCGAATAATCTTAAACCACTGAAATCGGCTGTTCGTGTTTTGAACATTACATACTCAAAAGACTTAATTTATAAATATTGCCAAAGAATATGAATTAAAAAACAGGCAGTTGTTTTCGACTGGGGTTTCAAAAAAATTAAGCAATCTCATTAATAAATTGCAGGTACTGGTATCAGAAATCTTCTTTCGACATCTTTGACACTATCGGATACGAACGAGTCGACCAGACAGTGCTGTTTGCTACAACTTTAGTTTACTTTTGTTTGACAAAGACCAATACAGGGGCCAAGAAGTCTGCAAAATGCCATCGGCAGAATATAAACATGTCTCCTAATCCTTTTTTTAAATCTTTTCTAGGAGTTATTTCATTTCCTCTTTCTAGTTATTTGATTGCGTCTTGTACAGTTTCAGCCTAAAATCGGCAAAAAAATAAAAAAGATTGAGCCTGGGGCAGAAAACAAACATTCTTTAGCAAAAAAAAAAAAAAAAAAAAACTTAAGGAATGTGTGCAAATTTCAGATCTATGCTTTGAATTTGTTTTCCCTTTCAACAGAACAGATAGCATGTCCTAAAAAGCCTGTGTCACCAAGATTTAATGCTGCTTGAAAACCCAACGGAAACATATTTCCGTCAGTTGAATCCTTTTATGGCAGCCTGGTGTTTTTATGTGGTACCAAGAGCCATAATGACCTTAGTACTACCTAACATAATGATGACTGTTTCTTATGATAAGAGTGGGTAGGGAAGGAATAGACTTTAACTTGAAAATGAAAATGAAGAGCTTTTAGATTTTCAAATTTAACACAGTTTTACTCGAAAGAAATCGTTTAAAAGCCATTCATTACACTTTGTTCCCCACACTTTTTACACACGTTGGCTTTTGAATAAGCTTTGTTCAAAGGCCTTAATGTGTATCATCATATGCGGAAACTTGCCAGAATTTGATCCCACGGTATTGTCCAGTTACTTGATGTGTGGGCTGATCGGTGGGCAAACCATCTTCAGGATGATACAAAATTATTGCTGAGGACGTTAACGACTTTGCTGTGAATCTTTTTGTCTAAAATAACTAATTAAATTTCTTAGAATGGTAACTACTAAATATAAATTAAGGCCATCTTGAGAGCGGATTTCCTCTTAAGTTCTCAAAATGCCTACTTTTGATTAGCCATCTTCACAAATTAAGAAAACGAACTTCATTGTAAAATGTTAAAGCGGAAAGACGTAGAAAACCAATTTGATCTTATCAAAGGCAACATCAGTTCAATATTGTTTTTCTACCACTATACATTAATACCTGAAGTTCAAATCGTGCCAATCTCTGAAAAAGAAACGAACAAAGCTAACAAATCATTACTTGAAAAAAACCCACCACGAAGCGTGAAATTTTCTTTATAATTTTACAAACGTAGGTGCATGGTATTTAATTGCTTGCATAGCAGACAGCTGTGAGTACACACTAACGTCGCTTCCTATTTTCGCAGAAGTGTCTCAATACTGAAACATATGCATAAGCACAATTTTTTTAAATTAGTTAATTTTTAACTATGTTTAATCCTATACGGATGTACTGCGTTAGGCGCCTAATATTTTGGTGCTTTAATAGAATCACCTGAAATATGTATTTTTTTCTATCCTAAGGAGCGTTTGAGCAAGTTATGTTGAGTAACAGTTCAAGAAGCTTAGAGAACAATGTCTCCTGCTTTCGCTTTCCTGTATTTCAAACGGACAACATCCCCGAGCTTATCGTCGGTTTTAACAGTACTGTAAATTTCCCACTGTCAGTGTTAACAATTGTAGGCAACACCTTGGTTTTGGTAGCCGTATGGAGAACACCTTCTCCTTGTTCGCCCTCCATCATATTACTTTGTGGTCTCGCAACGACAGACCTTGCTGTGGGCCTCTTGCTTCGGCCGTTGTTTTTGTCTATGGAACTCACGCTCCTCTCGAATTCGTCGGCTTATAACTGTGTGTTAGGAAAGGCATTCAACACTAGTTCCTATACTGTCTGTGGAGTTTCCCTGGCGACTCTTACAGCTATCACTATAGACAGGCTACTAGCGCTAAAATATCATATGAGGTACAGCAGTATCATGACCATACAGCGAGCATTTTGTGTTATCGCAATGAACTGGTTGACAAGTAGTTTTCTGGCAAGTCCTATACTATGGACTTCAAAGTTATTGTTTCTTTTTGTCATGGCTTTAGTCGTGGCCATTTTTCTATGCTTTTCAACATCCGCGTACATAAATATTTCCTACATAATCCGTCACCACAAACGACAAATTCTCGCACAAACAAGAGCAGTTCAAGATAATTCGCGCATAAATATAACGCGTTTCAAGAGAACAGCATTCAATACATTCTTGGTCCACTACTTTCTCCTTATTTGCTACATCCCCTTTTTCGTAACCTTGCTGTTGCAGGGAGACGAATAGAAAATACCTTCAGAATCTTGGAAAGAGTATGGCAGTGGCATAGCATGGAAATTGTCAAGCACGGTATGGTCTTCATGAATTCTGCGTTGAATCCTTTTATCTACTGTTGGCGTCTTCAAGAGATTCGCACCGCTGTGAAAAAGTCTCTTTTCTGCAGAAAATGACTCTAAAGTGGAACTGTCATCCTAATCAGTGTAAATTTATTTTAGATGGGTAATTTAAAACAATAGTCAGTACTTAAAAATGGACATAGGAGACGATTAATGCTTATAGTAAGCTTGAATTTTAGTGGTGAATGGAGGTCTTAACACTACAAATTAAAAAAAAAAAGAAACCTCGAAATATTTATGAAAATACGCTTGAAGTCTTGACACGAGAAACAATAGTTCATACATAATATTCTCTAAACGAAAGCCTTCTTTCTGTTTAATATGATAAAGTATGTTGTTGCATTCTTATATATATCTAATATATATCAACCTTTCTAGCTATAACATTGGTGTATCAAATTAGCTCCTCCTATCATATCAATATACTAGGCTATCAGAGTTAAAGCGGAAAAACAGGTGCTACAGAAGAATTTTAAAGAAACAGAACTATAAAAAAAACCGTAATCGGTACGATTTAGCGCCAGGGCACTTTCTTTATTTACGGGTTCAGGAGAGGCGCAAATTAGAAAATGGCCCTTTTTCGTAGTGAACAGCACCCATTATCTAGAAACGCGGCTGGGTTAAAAAAAAGAAGCCGAGAAAAACATGAAAAGAAAAAAGCATCTTAAGGACGATTTTGTGCAGGTACTTTGCTGAAAATCTCTCGCACGTCCAACAGTTCTTTGCTAACAGAACCCTCAGCAGCTTGGGGAGGTGGGTTATGACGTGGCCTGAGTAACCTCGTATTTGTCATGTGCCTGATGTCTGCCTGGGTTAGTTACAATTACCGTAAAACATCATGCTGGAGAATGTGGGAGTCAGGAGGTAGCTTTTTTTTCACTCCCTTTGTTACTGAGAAGGGAAACCGGAGTAGATGTACCTCCTTCATCGAGAAGATGGGTTCGCATATTTGTACTGGCGTATATGTACCATCCTGATGATATACTCTAAAAGAGAAGGCATGCTAGAAAGAGTACGGTTGTGACTCTCCTGTGCTTAAAAGATGATTTTAAGTAAGTCTGCATGTCCTGCACAGGGTCTTAGCCTTGCGTAAAGGGTTGTCCAGTCAAACAGTGTCAACAATAAAAGGGAAAGTGGAAGTGGAAGTGGTTTATCTTACTTTATTTTATGAAATACTGATATGATATTCATCCGGCTTGTATACTGCTATTGACCATACCATCTTGGTCAGCGAATGTGACCAATTCACCAGGGAAGATTATACTAACGAGAAAGTGAAGGGAAAATCCTAACTTCTCCATAATAAATTTACCGGGAACATCGAATAAAGTGTCAGTGTAAAAGGGGCTCTCAACTGACCCGTACTTTATCGTGAGTAGAAAGTTTAAAGCATACGTCTTGTTAGCGTCAGGAATCACGAGCTGAAATATGCTTCTCTTTTAAAAGTGGTGTTATCAGCGGAGTCGAAGGCCGAGGCTGATAACACTTACCGAGACCTTGATTATTTAGGATATCACAAAAATCGAATCTAATAATTGTTTTATTACACATTGTTTTGAAGAAAATAACGACAAACACCGTCTCAAGGAACCTGAACTGAATTGTTATTGGAAATCATGCATTGCGCAACCTAGAGCGCTTACCATTTGTAAGGAAATTTCGGTGAAAAACTTCCGTCAAATGGTATTGATATTTTTTTTGGCACTGAAAACAGGACCGGGATCGAGTTGTATCATTTACAAAATACCGGTAAAATTTTCGCTTTCTTTCGATATGAAGCCTGGCACTGGTGTAATCCAAACAAATGGTACAGAAAATTTTGGTCGTAAAAACGGGAAAAAGGGAATACCTCGAAAGGAATTTCTTTCTTTCCGGAAAATTTCGACCAGAATGAACCGTTCCATTCAAATTCTTCCCAGAATTCCCGATTTTTCATACAAATGGTAAGCGCTCCTACAGATTAGTCAGTTAGTTATCTGCTAGAGATAACTAACTAATCTGTAGGTTGCGCTGGTTTCCAAAATTAGCTGGTGGCTATTAACCAGTGAGAAGACATAGCGAGTACAATGTATAATAATCAGATGATATATTTTTAGGGGTAGAATAAGAACATCAATAATTGCTTACGAAATTAAAGTCATTCAATGTCTCAATGTTTACCTCTGTTCAGACACGTCACATTACTCGGCGCAAAACCGTTTAGTAATATTAACGACTTATTTCCAGTCATGTCAGCCAGTTTCGCTTCAGTTTCATCGAGGCAGTAATGCTTATTCTTTTGGTAGCGAAAGTTTGGATTTTCGCTCAGAATCGCTTCTTTTATAGCCTCTGCTACTTGCTGTGCAGTCAAGACCTAGTCCGGCTGAGTCCAGAAAGTACCCCATCGGCTACTCACTCTGTCCCGGATAAGCAGGGTCTTTGGTCAGCGGACAACAGGTCCCCACCCTCAATAGAATTATTGCCATCTTTCATTGGAATATCAACGGAACTTGGTTAAATGTTGTGAATGAGGCACTATAAAACAGGATGTTTAAGGCTGTTTTAATCCCAACCTCGTGTGCTGCTTGTGTGTGCCTTAATTTTATAAAAAGTAATAATAATAAGTAGCACCCAAGTACCTGATGTTAAACGGGCGAAGAGTTGGTGCCATTGATTCAGTCAGTCCTTCCACGGCAAACATTGTTGAGCTATAAATTTCAGCAGTTGGAAACCCAATCACTCAGGCATGGCTGCTAATGTTGATTATATCACAGTCCGCCCAGACTTTGTGGGAGTTCGTTAGACCTTGAATTGTAAGTGACTGAATGAAAATAAACAAAATACGTCCTAAATTCCATTTTTGACAAAAGTAGAAATAAAAATGACCTACCTTGTGTTTTTGTTTTGGTATTTACTGTTTCTTTGCTTCTAGAGCCATTTGAAGGCCGTTTTATCAACGTTAAAGATTTTGAGTTGTACTTCAGTCTAAATATGGGAAGGCTGCCGAGTCTGAAGAGGACCGTCCCAGTTCGAACCTCCATAAATCCCATTGAAATAGTCTTATCTCGCCAAAATTACCGTTAGAGGTCTGCCGATAATTTGTCTTTCCCTTCTATGCTTCTGAAGTCTCAGGTTTGATCACAACCGCTAGCGAAGCGCTTGATTTTAAACTTTTTCCATCAAACTGTTCTTTCTCGCGATGCCTATGACCGGTCAACTCGACCTGACGTAACTAACCGTAGCTCAAATCTTACGTTACATCGACAATTTGCCTCCGTCCGGGAGCGGGCACGGTGTATCGCGAGTAGCACGGTGGGAGAGTCCTTGGGTCCATTTGACCACGTCAAATCGCGCGAGCTCTCGGCTATTTAATACAGAACTCAATTTGAAAACACAGCAGTCTTCTTCGCTTCGGTGGTCTGACTTCGCTGCTTGGAAAAACCCCTTGGAAATCTTTCCTAATCTGATTGCCTTATTTTTTTAAACAGTCTTTTTTCAGAACTAAACTTTACAGTCTCAACCGATTCAGCTAGTGAGTTTACAAAGATGCAGCTGCTTGACGATCAAGGTGACTCCAAAGCGATCTATATCTTCTGTCCCAAGTTGCTTCTTTTTCGCAAGATTTCTCATTGTTGCATACACCTGAAACCTGATTTCGGCATCGATCGTTAGCAAGCAAAACAGCGGTGGCCAGTCCTATGCCGCTGGAAGAACCAGTTATCCATACAACTTTGGCAGCTATCTCTTGATCGCATCTTCATCCGTTCGTTGCCTTACAATATAATTGAACTAAGTCACGTTGGTATATGGGGCTGCCATGGTTGGAAGGGAAAGTGAATGGCTGCGAAAATGTTTGTTGAGTCGCTTTCGTCCGGGTTCCACTCTAGATAGCAATTGATCAAGTCATTCAGTAATGGACACATATTTTATTTGGAAACCTCCGTAATCAGTATGGTAACGGGCTATTGGGAGTAACGGCAAGCGTAAAAATATTTAAAAAAATGAAACTATTAAGTTCCGATAAGATTGTGGTAAATCAATAATTTTTACTTAGGTACTTCATCGACAAGTGGATTAAGTGCGTTTTCTTTGGCGGCTTTTGCTGTCAGCTACTGCAAAACTTGTGGGTCTGAGACAGTTTTTTGAAGATCCGATCGCTCGACGAATATAATAATTGCGTTCGACGAAGGAGAACGCATACTGTTGGAGTCATTTTTCCATATGATTTCCGGCTGGCATATTTGGCCTCGATCTTAAGTGTCTTAACATTTTTTTCATCCCCGAGCTGGTATCCGTTCTTTTGTGTCTCGCTTGTACCAGCGAGATTGTACTTTCTGGAGAGGTTTTTTTTATCATTTTTCTCAGTTTTTGTTGTTCGCTTTCATTTCAGTTTCTTTACAGAACAAAATCCATTCTAAGATAATCAGATATCTAAATAGTATGATAAACATGTGTTCGGCAGTGTATTTGTTTTTATGGATACTAAGCTACATTAGGTTAGAGCAAGAGAGGATAAAGGGGACAGAGAAGGCATTCCCTATACACACCCTATTTCATAGGTAATTCGTCTCGAGTTATTTTTAGAATCGGGATTAAGTTACCTCGCGCGCTGCGTGGATGTTTCGTGGAGGTTTCGCATGACTAAACGCCGTGCAAAACATGTCGGGCGAAAGGCAATGAAAGCGTAAAGAGATCGAGAGCATTTCTGAATATTGAAGCGAAATGAGTCGGCGCTCACCTGGGAAAAGGGAATCACTGGACTCTTTGACAACACGTGAAATCAATTTAACTCGAAGTTATCGTAATCTCAGTGCTTTGATAAAATGGGAAATTTCGCCGGTCTATTGAGACCAGTCGTTTGTACAATAAAGCAATTAGGACGCCAAGCGTTATTTTTGTTGAATAATAAAA